TCAGCATCATCAGCATATTCATGATGACCAATTCATCATCAGCATCATCGGAATGACCATCACCACCAAGCAACAGAATCAGCATCCTCAGCATCTTCATGATGACTAATTCATCATCAGCATCTTCATGATAACTGATTCATCATCAGCAGCATCATCATCAGCATCTTCATGATGACTAATCCATCATCAGCGTCATCAGAATGACCATCACCACTAAGCAGCAGAATCAGCATCATTGTCCGATGACGCAATCATCATCATCAAATGGCCCCAATGATCCATCATCGTCGTCATCATCGTCGTCATCATCATCGTCATCATCGTCACGTCCGGAGCCCCAGGGACAGACGACGCCGCGTGCCGGCATCGTCACGAGGCGGTGGAAGGGCAGAATGAGCGGGAAGTGGTGGTGGTGGTGGTGGAAGTGGTGGAACTGGTGGTGGAAGTGGAGGTGGAGGTGGTGGTGGAAGTGGTGGAAGTGGTGGTGGAAGTGGTGGAAGTGGTGGTGGAAGTGGTGGTGGTAGTGGAGGTGGTGGAGGTGGTGCTGGTGGTGGAAGTGGTGGTGGAGGTGGTGGAAGTGGTAGTGGAAGTGGTGGTGGTGATGGAGGTGGTGGTGGAAGTGGTGGTGGAGGTGGTGGTGTAAGTGGTGGTGAAGGTGGTGGTGGTGGTGGTGTAAGTGGAGGTGGTGGTGGAAGTGGTGGTGGAGGTGGTGGTGGTGGAAGTGGTGGTGGAAGTGGTGGTGGTGGAAGTGGTCGTGGTGGAAGTGGTGGAAGTGGTGGTGGTGGAAGTGGTGATGGAGGTGGCGGTGAAGGAGGTGGCGGTGATGGAGGTGGCGATGATGGAGGTGGCGATGATGGAGGTGGCGATGATGGAGGTGGCGATGATGGAGGTGGCGATGATGGAGGTGGCGATGATGGAGGTGGCCATGATGGAGGTGGCGATGATGGAGGTGCGATGATGGAGGTGGCGATGATGGAGGTGGTGATGATGGAGGTGGTGATGATGATGGTGATGGAGGTGATGGAGGTGATGATGATGGAGGTGGCGATGATGATGATGATGGAGGTGGCGATGATGATGATGGAGGTGGCGATGACGATGATGGAGGTGGCGATGATGGAGGTGGCGATGATGGAGGTGGCGATGGAGGTGGCGATGATGGAGGTGGCGATGATGGAGGTGGCGATGATGGAGGTGGCGATGATGGAGGTGGCGATGGAGGTGGCGATGATGGAGGTGGCGATGATGGAGGTGGCGATGATGGTGATGGAGGTGATGATGATGGAGGTGGCGATGATGGAGGTGGCGATGATGGAGGTGGCGATGATGGAGGTGGTGATGATGGAGGTGGTGATGATGGAGGTGGAGGTGATGATGATGGAGGTGGCGATGATGATGGAGGTGGCGATGATGATGATGATGGAGGTGGCGATGATGGAGGTGGCGATGATGGAGGTGGCGATGATGGAGGTGGCGATGATGGAGGCGGCGATGATGGAGGCGACGATGATGGAGGCGGCGATGATGGAGGCGGCGATGATGGAGGCGGCGATGATGGAGGTGGCGATGATGGCGGTGGCGGTGGTAATGATGATGTAGCAGGTGCCGGGACGCGTGACTCCATTATTGGAGAGTGCACGCGATCACCGTGCACTCTCCAACAAGTAAGTGGGAGAGAGACGACAGAGGAGCGGGCAGGAGTCGATGTCACCACGTCCCCTCGACGTGGCCACGAGAGGACACGCGGGGGACCGTTCCACAACGCACAAAGCTCCCCCGCGTAGCCTCGACAGACTGTTGGGGCAAGCGCTGTTAGCGAGTAGCAGCGCCTACGAAGGCCGGCACGGCTACTCAACGATGGGAATGCGGCCACCACCACCACCACCATCACGCCCGGCCGCCTTCATCTCCTGTTGCGGCGATGTTTACGCATCGCGCCAGGGGAAATCTAACTCAGGCCGCCGGGTTCGTAGCGGTTTAGCTCGTTTCACGGTCGCGCGCGCGAGACATGACCTGGGATAGAACTTCAACCGTGGGGGACGGGAGCGAGTATGTGGAGGGTGACTCGAGGGAGGATGGACGCGGGGAGAGGTGGACAACTGGAGGACGACACGGAGGGAGGAGACAAAGGGCGACCGAGCGATGTCCACTCGTGACGCACGGGTAGTCGCTCGCTCTCGTGGAGAGAGGACGACTCAGAGAGAGGGGGCGACTCAGAGAGAGAGAACGACTCGGAGAGAGAACGACTCAGAGAGAGAGAGAACGACGCAAGAGAGAGAAGGGGGGACGACTCCGAGAGGGGACGACTCAAATAGAGGACGACTCAGAGAGAGAGAAGACGACTCAGAGAGAAAGGACGACTCAGCAGCATGAGCCACGCGCGCGTGAAGAGCCGACGCTACTGGGCAATCACCCAGGCTGAGGTCCTCTATATATCATCGTCGTCGTTGTCATCATCATCGTCGTGGTCGTCGTCGTCATCATCGTCGTCGTCGTCATCATCGTCGTCGTCATCATCGTCGTCGTCATCATCGTCGTCATCATCATCAAGGTGTCATCATCATCAAGGTGTCATCATCATCGTCATCATCAAGATGTCATCATCATCGTTGTCATCATCATCAAGGTGTCATCATCATCAAGGTGTCATCATCATCGTCATCATCATCAAGGTGTCATCATCATCGTCGTCATCATCATCATCATCAAGGTGTCATCATCATCGTGTCATCATTATCGTCGTCATCATCATCAAGGTGTCATCATCATCGTTATCATCGTCAAGGTGTCATCATCATCGTCGTCTTCATCATCAAGGTGTCATCGTCATCATCATCAAGGTGTCATCATCATCGTCATCATCATCAAGGTGTCATCATCATCATCATCGTCGTCATCATCAAGGTGTCATCATCATCGTCGTCATCATCAAGGTGGCATCATCATCATCGTCGTCGTCAGCGTAAAGGTGTCATCATCATCAAGGTGTCATCATCGTCGTCGTCATCATCAAGGTGTCATCATCATCGTCGTCAAGGTGTCACTATGATCATCGTCGTCATCAAGGTGTCATCATCATCGTCGTCATCGTCAAGGTGTCATCATCATCGTCAAGGTGTCATCATCATCGTCGTCATCATCAAGGTGTCATCATCATCATCATCAAGGTGTCATCATCATCATCGTCATCATCAAGGTGTCATCATCATCATCGTCGTCATCATCAAGGTGTCATCATTATCGTCGTCATCATCATCAAGGTGTCATCATCATCATCATCGTCGTCATCATCATCAAGGTGTTATCGGGTAATTAACGAGCGCATTCACACGCATGCGGGAGGGGTAGATGAACGAGCGAACCGCGGGACCCGTGACAAACAAACGGAAAACCCGCGCAGGTACCACTCCAAGACTCGCCGAGCAGAGGAAGGGAGAGAGAGCGAGAGCGAGAGACGTGGGGAGAGAGAGAGAGCGAGAGACGTGGGGAGAGAGAGAGAGCGGGAGACGTGGGCACAGAGAGAGAGCGAGAGACGTGGGCACAGAGATAGAGAGAGACGTGGGCACAGAGAGAGCGAGAGACGTGGGCACAGAGAGAGAGAGCGAGAGACGTGGACACAGAGAGAGCGGGAGACATGGGCACAGAGAGAGAGAGACGTGGACACAGAGAGACAGAGAGACGTAGACACAGAGAGAGCGAGATACGTGGGCACAGAGAGAGCGAGAGACGTGGGCACAGAGAGAGAGAGAGCGGGAGACGTGGACAGAGAGAGCGAGAGACGTGGGCACAGAGAGAGAGAGAGACGTGGGCACAGAGAGAGAGAGCGAGAGACGTGGACACAGAGAGAGAGAGACGTGGACACAGAGAGAGAGAGACAGAGAGACGTAGACACAGATAGAGAGAGACGTGGGCACAGAGAGAGCGGGAGACGTGGACACAGAGAGAGAGAGAGACGTGGGCACAGAGAGAGCGAGAGACGTGGGCACAGAGAGAGCGGGAGACGTGGACAGAGAGAGAGAGACGTGGACACAGAGAGCGAGAGACGTGGACACAGAGAGAGCGAGAGACGTGGGCACAGAGAGAGCGAGAGACGTGGACACAGAGAGCGGGAGACGTGGACACAGAGAGCGGGAGACGTGGACACAGAGAGCGGGAGACGTGGACAGAGAGAGCGAGAGACGTGGGCACAGAGAGAGACGTGGGAGACGTGGACACAGAGAGCGGGAGACGTGGGCACAGAGAGAGCGAGAGACGTGGACACAGAGAGAGAGAGAGACGTGGACACAGAGAGCGGGAGAGACGTGGACACAGCGGGAGACGTGGACACAGCGGGAGACGTGGACACAGAGAGAGCGAGAGACGTGGACACAGAGAGCGAGAGACGTGGACGCAGAGAGAGCGAGAGACGTGGACACAGAGAGCGAGAGACGTGGACGCAGAGAGAGCGGGAGACGTGGACACAGAGAGCGGGAGACGTGGACACAGAGAGCGGGAGACGTGGACACAGAGAGAGAGAGCGACGTGGACACAGAGAGGGAGAGACGTAGACACAGAGAGAGACGTGGGCACAGAGAGAGCGAGAGCCGTGGACAGAGAGAGCGAGAGACGTGGACAGAGAGAGAGCGAGAGACGTGGACAGAGAGAGAGAGAGACGTGGACACAGATAGAGTGAGACGTGGACACAGAGAGAGAGACGTGGACACAGAGAGAGCGAGAGACGTGGACACAGAGAGAGCGAGAGACGTGGGCACAGAGAGAGAGAGACGTGGGCACAGAGAGAGCGAGAGACGTGGGCACAGAGAGAGAGAGACGTGGACACAGAGAGAGACGTGGACACAGAGAGAGAGAGCGAGAGACGTGGGCACAGACAGAGAGAGAGACGTGGACACAGAGAGAGCGAGAGACGTGTGGAGAGAGAGGGGTGGGAGGAGGGAGACGTTGTGAGAGAGCGAGCCAGGAGAGAGCGAGGGAGGGAGGGAGAGTTTCCTTCCTCTCACCTTTACTGCGGCGCCCATGGCAGGAGCTGGAGAGACGAGAGGTGTCCCCCAACGGAATCACATCACCACCACCACCATCATCGCCATCACCACCACCACCATCATCATCATCATCGTCGTCGTCGTCCCACTTCGAGACCGGCCCATGCTCGTCCCGGCCGGGAGGCCTCCCCGCAGCCGCCACTCCCTTCCCACGAAGCTCGCGACCCCCCCTCTTCCTCCTCTCTTCCTCCTCCTCTCCTCCTCCTCTCTTCCTCACCTCTCTCCTCCTCCTCTAGCTCAGTCCGCACGCTCTGCAAGGACGTTGCAATTCGCCCCCCTCCTCCTCCTCCTGCACCACTCTCAAACTAACCTGCTGCTGCTGCTGCTGCTGGGGGTGGTGTTCCCCTCTTGCCCTCTCTCTCGTCTCTCTCCTCCTCCTCTCTCCTCCTCCTCTCTCCTCCTCCTCTCTCCTCCTCCTCTCTCCTCCTCCTCTCTCCTCCTCCTCTCTCCTCCTCCTCCTCTCTCCTCCTCTCTCTCTTCCTCTCTCTCCTCCTCTCTCTCCACTTCCTCTCGCTCAGTCCGCACGCTCACGGCAGAACGTGGCAATTCGCTTCCTCGGCTCTCCTCCACAGCCGCAGCAGCCGCAAGGGGCACGGGAACTTCGTGGTTCTACTTCGTGGTTCTAATTGGGAGCGCTCAGCATTGGCGCGGCCCCTGCCACCGCAGCCGCTGCTGCTGCTGCTGATGATGATGTTGCTGATGATGATGTTGCTGATGATGATGATGCTGATGTTGCTGATGATGATGTTGTTGCAGCTTCTTCTGTTGCGCTTGCTGATGCTGCTGCTGATGATGCTGCTGCTACTGCTGCTGATGATGATGATGTTGCTGATGATGATGCTGATGATGATGCTGATGATGATGCTGATGATGATGTTGTTGCAGCTTCTTCTGTTGCGCTTGCTGCTACTGCTGCTGATGATGATGATGCTGCTGCTGATGATGCTGCTGCTGCTGCTGCTGATGCTGCTGATGATGCTACTATTGCTGATGATGATGTTGCTGATGATGATGATGATGTTGCTGATGATGATGATGTTGCTGATGATGATGTTGCTGATGATGATGTTGCTGATGATGATGTTGTTGCAGCTTCTTCTGTTGCGCTTGCTGCTACTGCTGCTGATGATGATGCTGCTGATGATGCTGCTACTGCTGATGATGTTGCTGCTGATGATGATGTTGCTGCTGCTGATGATGTTGCTGCTGCTGATGATGTTGCTGATGATGATGATGATGTTGCTGCTGATGATGCTGCTGCTGCTGATGATGATGTTGCTGCTGATGATGATGTTGTTGCAGCTTCTTCTGTTGCACTTGCTGCTGCTGATGATGATGATGTTGCTGCTGATGATGCTGCTGCTGATGATGTTGCTGTTGATGATGATGCTGCTGTTGATGATGTTGTCGCTGCAGGTTCTTCTTCTGTTGCACTTGCTGCTGATGATGATGGTGTTGTTGTTGCTGCTGCTGCTGCTGTTGATGATGATGTTGTTGTTGTTGTAGCTGCTCCCCGATGTCTCTTGCCGACGCCGATGATGACGACGATGTTGTTGTTGACGACGTTGTTGTTGTTGCTGTTGCTGCTGCTACAGGCCACGCGTTCCTTGCGCAATCTGAAGAGGATCGAAGTCTCAATGAGTCGCTTCGCACTTCGTCACATTCAACAACAAACACCGACGGGACCTTTGGGGATACTGCTGATGATGATGATGCTGATTATGATGACACGATGTCGACACTGCTGCTGCTGATGATGATGCTGCTGATGATCATGATGACTATGCCGCTAGCTACTGCTGCTGCTGATGATTGTAATGATGATGATTGTGATAATTATGATGATGATTGTGATAATGATGATTGTGATGATGATGATTGTGATGATGATGATTGTGATGATGGTGGAGGCACGATGGCGCTAGAGGCAGGTTTGTCAGGCACGGGGAGGAGATACTGGATGGAGTGTGCCGTGCCGTGCCGTGGTGTACCCGTGCCGTGCCGTGGTGTACCCGTGCCCGTGGTGTACCCGTGCCGTGGTGTACCCGTGCCGTGGTGTACCCGTGCCGTGGTGTACCCGTGCCGTGGTGTACCCGTGCCGTGGTGTACCCGTGCCGTGGTGTACCCGTGCCGTGGTGTACCCGTGCCGTGGTGTACCCGTGCCGTGGTGTACCCGTGCCGTGGTGTACCCGTGCCGTGGTGTACCCGTGCCGTGGTGTACCCGTGCCGTGGTGTACCCGTGCCGTGGTGTACCCGTGCCGTGGTGTACCCGTGCCGTGGTGTACCCGTGCCGTGCCGCTTGCCGTTAGCGGCGCTGCGCGCGTCTCGAGATGCCGCGCCGAGTGAGCGCGGAGTGGCGCGCGGGGCCGATTTTATCCGGGGGCTCCGCGGGGGAGGGGGGGGAATGGGGGGAGGAGGGCGGGCAGGGGGATTGGGGGGAGGGGTGAGTCACGGGCGCGCGCGCGAGGGGCAGGGAGGCGCGCGAGCTTCCTCTTAACGCAGAGATACACACAGAGATAGAGATAGACACAGAGATAGAGATACACACAGAGATAGAGATAGACACAGAGATAGAGATACACATAGAGATACACACAGATATAGAGATACACACAGAGATACACACAGAGACAGAGATACACACAGAGATACACACAGAGATAGAGATACACATAGAGATAGAGATACACACAGAGATAGAGATACACACAGAGATACACACAGAGACAGAGATACACACAGAGATACACACAGAGATAGAGATACACACAGAGATACACACAGAGATAGATACACACAGAGATACACACAGAGATAGAGATAGACACAGAGATAGAGATACACATAGAGATACACACAGAGATAGATACACAGAGATACACACAGAGATAGAGAAAGACACAGAGATAGAGATACACACAGGGATACACACAGAGACAGAGATACACACAGAGATACACACAGAGATAGAGATACACACAGAGATAGAGATAGACACAGAGATAGAGATACACATAGAGATACACACAGAGATACACAGAGATAGAGATACACACAGAGATAGAGATACACACAGAGATAGAGATACACACAGAGATACACACAGAGACAGAGATACACACAGAGATACACACAGAGATAGAGATACACACAGAGATAGAGATACACACAGAGATAGAGATACACACAGAGATACACACAGAGACAGATACACACAGATATACACACAGAGATACACACAGAGACAGAGATACACACAGAGATACACACAGAGATAGAGATACACACAAAGATACACACAGAGATAGAGATACACACAGAGATACACACAGAGATAAAGATACACACAGAGATACACACAGAGATAGAGATAGACACAGAGATAGAGATACACACAGAGATGCACACAGAGATAGAGATAGACACAGAGATAGAGATACACAGAGAGATACACACAGAGATAGAGATACACACAGAGATACACACAGAGATAGAGATACACACAGAGATACACGCAGAGATAGAGATACACACAGAGATACACACAGAGATACACAGAGAGATAGAGATACACACAGAGACAGAGATACACACAGAGATACACACAGAGATATAGATACACGCAGAGATAGAGATATACACAGAGATACACACAGAGATAGAGATACACACAGAGATAGAGATACACACAGAGATACACACAGAGATACACACAGAGATAGAGATACACATAGAGATACACACAGAGATAGAGATACACAGAGATACACGCAGAGATACACACAGAGATAGAGATACACACAGAGATACACACAGAGATACACGCAGAGATAGAGATACACACAGAGATAGAGATACACATAGAGATACACACAGAGATGGAGATACACATAGAGATACACACATCTCTATGTGCATCTCTATCTCTGTGTCTATCTCTGTGTGTATCTCTGTGTGTATCTCTGTGTGTATCAGAGATAGAGATACACAGAGATACACACAGAGATACATACAGAGATAGAGATACACACAGAAATACACACAGAGATACACACAGAGATAGAGATGCACACAGAGATACACACAGAGATAGAGATACACACAGAGATAGAGATACACACAGAGATAAAGATACACACAGAGATAAAGATACACATAGAGACACACACAGAGATAGAGATACACACAGAGATGGAGATACACATAGAGATACACACATCTCTATGTGTATCTCTATCTCTGTGTCTATCTCTGTGTGTATCTCTGTGTGTATCAGAGATAGAGATACACAGAGATACACACAGAGATACACACAGAGATAGAGATACACACAGAGATAGAGATACACACAGAGATAGAGATACACATAGAGATACACACAGAGATACACAGAGATAGAGATACACACAGAGATAGAGATACACACAGAGATACACACAGAGATACACACAGAGATAGAGATACACATAGAGATACACACAGAGATAGAGATACACAGAGATACACGCAGAGATACACACAGAGATAGAGATACACACAGAGATACACACAGAGATACACGCAGAGATAGAGATACACACAGAGATAGAGATACACATAGAGATACACACAGAGATGGAGATACACATAGAGATACACACATCTCTATGTGCATCTCTATCTCTGTGTCTATCTCTGTGTGTATCTCTGTGTGTATCTCTGTGTGTATCAGAGATAGAGATACACAGAGATACACACAGAGATACATACAGAGATAGAGATACACACAGAAATACACACAGAGATAGAGATGCACACAGAGATACACACAGAGATAGAGATACACACAGAGATAAAGATACACACAGAGATAAAGATACACATAGAGACACACACAGAGATAGAGATACACACAGAGATGGAGATACACATAGAGATACACACATCTCTATGTGTATCTCTATCTCTGTGTCTATCTCTGTGTGTATCTCTGTGTGTATCAGAGATAGAGATACACAGAGATACACACAGAGATACACACAGAGATAGAGATACACACAGAGATAGAGATACACACAGAGATACACATAGAGATACACATAGAGATACACATAGAGATACACATAGAGATACACATAGAGATACACATAGAGATACACATAGAGATACACATAGAGATACACATAGAGATACACATAGAGATACACATAGAGATACACATAGAGATACACAGACACACACAGAGATACGCACACAAATAAAGACAAAGATCCCCTGTATAGTCTTAACAGACTGTAGGGGGGAGTGCTGTCAGCGAGTAGCACCTATGAAGGTCGGAACAGCACACGAGGGGGTTAGTGGCCAAC